GTATTCTGGGTAAACAAGAAGACCCACAAAGGAAATCAGAGGCATTTTGGGCAAGCAAGAAGAGTCAAATACTCAGACCAAGAGCTTGCTGGAAGCGTTGCTCACACGTCTCCCCCCTCCTTCTTAGATTTTCTTTTAGAAAATTGTTTATCTATAACTTTTAATTTTACCTCTTTGTTTCTGGAACTTGTCATTGCATTATGTTTTAAATATAATTCATCTCTTTTGGCTCTGATTATATTGCATTTTTGATACATGACAAAGAGGGGGAGAAAGTAAGATATTTTCAATAATGGTTTACCGAGACAGAAGTCTCAAACATTCTGAATTACTTAACCTCTACCTTCTGAAAAGTTTAAACAGGTACAAATTATGATAAGAGATGCAACTAAACTCTAATGAGAAGGAACTTAAGGGAAGTAACCAACTCAGGGGGAGTTTCTCTTAAAACCTTTTGTTCTTTATTTTTCATTGAAAATTCTAGTTTTTGTCATCATCAAAAAGGGGGAGATTGTTAGAACATAGTTTGATTCTACAACCCTTAGTTAGAGTTTTGATGATAACAAATACAAAGAACAAGTATGCACCTTAAAAATTATGTTATTGTGTATGCAGAAGTTCTGACAAAAGCAGCATCAGAAGTTAAGCCATAAGAGCTACACGCTGAAGCAATCAGAACATGCGCTGAAGATTGATGACCAGAACCTGCACTTAAGAGAAGTAAACTCTGATTCTGAACAAGAGCATAATAATCCAAGTCATCAATGTGCTGAAGCATCAGCAACAAGAAAGGATGAAAGATTCTGAAGCGTTACTAATCATTCAATACAACATCAATTACAACGGCTTCTTTCAGACATGATCTTCTCCAAATAGAAACTGAGTTAATGTCATTTAACACGCTTGATGATCAATGTAAATCCATTTCCTATATAAACAAGCTCAGTGTTCAAATTGTAAACGATTTTGCCAAGACTATTCACGAGAATTCAAAAAGCTGCAAGAATTATTCATCATCTTTCCAAGCTCTAATTTTGTGTAAATTATCATAGTTGTGATAACAGTTTTTGTAACGAAAAACAATAACACACATTCTTGTATCTTTGTTTTAAAACAGTGTTCCTTGAGATTAACCGGATTGTGGTTGTACTCAAGAAGACTTTAACAGTTGTTAAAGTAGTGATTGTAATCCTTTTGAGATTAGTAGATTAAGATCTCGTTGGAGAGAGGCGAAATCACCTTGATGGATGGACTGGAGTAGTTTGAGATCAAACGGACCAGGATAAAAATACTGTGTCATTGCGCTTTTGATTTCAGGTTTTCAATTCACCCCCCCCCCCCCCTTCTTGTGTTTTTCACTTCTTTAGTTTGTTCTCTGTGAAACCAATCTGAACCATTGAATTAGAAAGTTTGTTACAAAATAGAGAGCTAAGATTGAATCTGTTATGAGCTGGAAAATTCTGCTTCTTAATATTTGATTTTATTCCTCATTGTTTTCTCTTTTTTCTGGTTATATCTTTCTAATTTTCCTAATATTACGGAGCTGGAAATTGTTTTCTGATATTTTCTGTTATCAGATAAATGCACGGCATGGTTAGTTTATGTGAATTGGTTTGAACCGATTTTCATTTTTTATATGTAGGGTTGTTGGGTTGATTTTGGTTTCAAGACATTTTCTAATTCTATCCTATTTTTTCATGTGTTGAATGGTGATTGATCATGGATGAGGAAGACTTGAAGAAATTAATGGTGTATTTGTGGACATGCTTGGAGGAGAAAATACAAGAGGCAAATTCAAGACTTGGAGGATGATATAGATAGACAAAATTGTTAACAAAATGTTTATATAACATTAATTTGGGAAGTAGTTTGAAACTTAAGATTGTGTAAACTTGAAGTCTTGAATTCCATTTGAAGTTTCGGTTTAGGATTTGTACTCTTGTATCTTGATGATGATGTAATTGAAACTTAGAAACTTGAGATCTTCTTATAACATAAAAGACATTGATGTAACTTGACAACTTGGATCAAAGAAAAGTATCGAATGACTCTTGTGATGTAGCTTGGAAATTAAGTTGTTGAAGACTTGAAATCTCTTTTGAAAATTGATGGAGTTCTTAGGCATAGACATTTGGACTCTTTTGTAACATCTTGATTCTTGAATGGAGATCAAATAAGATTGATGATCAAGTATTATTCCTTATTGTCAATTTAAATTTAGCATAGCACTTAGAACAAGTAAATTTGTTAATGACGTGAAAATGCTTATTTGTGATTTTTTGTGACTATGTTGCATCTTGAGTTTACGAAATGCAATTCGAATCTTGCCAACTTTGAATAAACGCACCTTGAGTAAAAAGGGAATTTTGAATCAAAATTCAACTTTAAACCACAAGCAATAAACAAATGAATCCTTGAACTCAACTTTATATCATAACACTTGAGAGAAATTATGGACAATGTCAAGAAAATTCATATGCTCAAAGAATCGATCAAAAATACTGAATAATGAAGAAGTTATGATCATTTGAACTCAAACTTGAAAATGTTAACTTTTGGTCAACCAACTTTGAATCACTTGTGAACTTGATCTTTTTCCACAACCCAAGGCATTCTTAATCACATACTAACCTAAGATGATGAAATCTTGATTAAACTATGTTCACACTTGTCGGAACTTGATATTACCCGTCAAAGAAGGCATGCAAATAAACACATGAACCTATCTCGAAGAGTCTTGAGCATTAAGCAACCAAACTCGCCTTAACCATGTTGAATGAAGCTTGAGGATAGTGTGACCTAAGATTATAGATCACAACTCTGTCAAAATAGGCGTTTGAGAGTTGGTCTTTGGCCTGAACAAACCACAACCCTAATCGGAGAACCATCACCGAATTTTCTCAATCGGAAATCATGTCTTCTAGAAGAAACAAAATAAAAAAGACGTATTTTAGGATTTTGGTTAGAAGTCAGCAAAATATAAAACACATATATAAGAGAATACACAAATATGGTGCTTGATGCATTGTGATGATATGGGATGGTAGAGGAGCTTAGGGGCAAAAATTGAAGTATAACGGTATCACCTTGCAATTGTTTTGTTTTTTACTCATTTAATTTATAATTCGGTTTCAATCCAGTTCAAACATTAAATCCACACCAAACTTAACACTAATTATAGAACTTCTGTAGTCAATCTTGCAAGTAACCTTTAATTAAGAGGCTAAATATTTTTTTCCATGAACCTATGTAGACAAATGGATAACCCCTGACAATGTTCAATTTCAAAATTAAAAAATTTCGTCTCTCATATCTTCGAGAGGTTAACCAACACCAAATAATTTTGTGATTTTGTTTTGTTTTGCGCGTTGTGAGAGGTTTAATCCTAAACAAAAATTTTTATTTAGTAAGGAGTCTTACCCTTGATAAATTGCTTTTAATTTATAAAGCTTTCTAAGTTTAGACAAAGATAAAAAAGAATTAAAAAATTAAATTAAGTTATTTTTATGACAATTTAAATAAATTAAAATTCAAAAGACAATATTAAATAATAAATATATGTCCAAAATTAAGAAATTATGATATTATGCTATAAATACATGAGTGTTTCTTTATTATTAAAATTGTTATTTTAAAAGTATCAACAACTTATTTGTATTAATATATTATGAAAAATACAAAGAACTTTGAATATGATAAAAATATCAACAACTTATTCGGTTCGGTTTGGACAGATTTTTTGTCAAAAAATATCCAAATTGATGATATCTTCATCAGTTTGATTTAATTTTTAGTATTTTTCAAAAATAGAATTAAATCAAATTAATCTTTCGGTTCAGTTTAGTTTGATTCAGTTGATTGATTTACAATATTTTTTCAAACATTATATGCATTGATTTATTCTCTACTATTGTGTTTTTTAGTGTATGATGCTAATGCTTTTTAAAATAATATATTTCATTTAATTTATTACATACTCTATCTTTTCAAACAAATTAAAGTTGTTGTTAATTCATAGGAAATAGTGAGATTATTTCCATTGCATCCTGAAATAAGTTTACCATCAAATATAAAATTTAGTATTTGACATGAGAAGATTGAGAATGGTTTAAAAGCTTAATAAATAAAACACAACTGTAACAACAAATTATTTCAATACACGTAAATTAACATATTTCACACCTCAAACACGCCTAAAAACTATATTGTAATAAGACTAAAAGGAATTTTGTTGAAGAAGAAGAAACAAAAAAGGTTTAAAAAACATGAAAACTAACGAAGAGAACTTGAGTACAAAGAAGGCAATCATAACATAATCAAAATCACGGTAGAGAGAGCAACAATGGTGGCGGACAACGAGAGCAGAAGTTCATTGAAAATAAGTTTTTGTGACTTATGATTCCTAATTTCTATGTTCTGGAGTTTGATTTTAGATGTATGTTTTGCTGAAAGGAAATAAATGTAAACAAAGATAAATAATAGTTAGACCGATACAACATTTAGGCGTAATGATGGATGAAATAAAAATTTTATAGCGTAATTATAATCATTGGTGCGGTTCATCGATTTGACAGTTCCTTAAAATTAAAACTGGGAACCGAATCAAATCACATCGATTTTCAATAGTTTGACTCGATTTTAGAACTAAATCAGAAACAATCGATTTGTTTCCAATTTGGTTTGATTTAGATTGTTGGTTTAATTGTTTTTTTTTTTATCTGCTTACACCCTAACTTATTTGCATAAATTAATCTTTTAATTTATAAAAAAACAACTTTAACTATTTTAAAATAAGTTTTCATAAAAATTATTTTTTATTTTTAAAATAAAAAAATAATTACTTTTTTTAGTTGCCAATAGAATTCTAAATGAATATCTATGGAAGAGTTGACGGATACAGTGCACAATTAAATGTTGTATCTCACTTTTTCAATGCTATAAAATCTTATGATTTTGTTGAGATTGAACCACCACATTTACACACACCCAATTGAAAAAAAATGCAGTCCCTGCAATCATTTGCTTTCATTTTAATATTTGTAATTCTTGCATTTGATGTTTGTGAATCTGATGATTGTAGCAATCCGTTGAAGAGCATTAGTGTTAGTCAATCAGGCAAAGCAGATTTCAAGACAATTCAAAGTGCCATTGATTCTGTCCCTGCAGGAAACTCTCAATGGATTCATATCCAAATATCCTCTGGTGTTTACAAGTATTTTTCTTCTTTTTCAACTATAATTGTATGCTACATTTTTATTATACATTGAATTGTTGATGATACAAATTGCTTTATGTTCAGAGAACAAGTCTTAATTCCCAAAAACAAACCATGCATTTATCTTGAAGGAGCTGGTAGCAAGTCCACAAGTATAGAATGGGGCTCTCATGAAAATGCTACTTTCGATATAAAAGCAAGCAATACAATTGCAAAGGGAATAACTTTTACGGTAAATTATATATAAATAATTGTATTTATTTAAAGAATAATGTTTATTGAATTAATTCATTTCTATACTTTATGTATTCATAGAATACATTGAACAGGCCAGTATTATTAGACGTGGTTAACGTTGTACAAGCCAAAGCTGCGAAAATCCATGCAGATAAATGTGCTTTCTATAGCTGTTCTTTTCTTGGGGTGCAAGATACCATAAATGATGACGATGGTCGCCATTACTACAATAATTGTTACATACAAGGTTCAACCGATTTCATATATGGAAATGGTCAATCACTCTTTGAGGTCAAATACAATCAAATTGATTTATTTTCATCATTTTATAATATTAAGTGTTATAATTAGTTTTTCATCATTAACCACAAGTGCTTTTCTCGGTGTCCTTTATGATTATGCAGGCAAGTACAATATATTTTTCAAATGGAAAATCTGGTCTGCAGCAAGATGGGGTTATTACAGCACAATATAGAAATTCACCAAATGATCCAAGTGGGTTTGTGTTTAATAATTGTAAGATAAGAGGGGAAGGAGGGTATAAGACTCAACTTGGAAGGCCTATGAAAGCTTATGCAAGAGTCATCATAGCAAATTCTTACCTATCAGATGTTGTTAGGCCTGAGGGTTGGAGTCAGAGAACATATGTTGGCAATGAGTAAGTTTCATTATTACATTTTTTATTTTACCGATGAATCACGAAATTAGCAGAATATGAGATTAATATGTGAAATAAACATAACTACAGATCAACCCTTACTTTTGTGGAGGAGGGATGCACAGGACCTGGAGCAGACAAATCGAAACGCGTGAAATGGATGAAGAGCTTGAGTGGACCTGAACTTGATAAATTCTTGAGTCTCTCTTTTATTGATCAAGAAGGATGGATTTCAAAATTGCCAACTAGCATATTCCATTAAAAGAAAACATCTAGATTGAAGTATTAGCAGGCTGATCTGTTGAAGTTTAATGCTGAAGAGAGTTAGTGGTTGTTGTTAGTTAGAAAGGTATAAGTAGTAATGTAGATTAGAGCCAGTGTCAATAAAATACATGAATAAGAATGTATTATGCTTCATTATCACTTGAGTTGATTTGAATAAACATCTCCAAAAGCTTTTTCAGGATTTATTTCTTTGATGTGGTCTGCAATCATGATCCTCGATTGCGGCGGTTGTAAGCGTCATTAGTTTTATTTGACATTTTGTTTTTGAAGGTGTATTGCGACACATGCTTACTGTCATCAATTTTATTTTACATTTTATTTTTGAAGGTTTATTGCTATGGACACAAGATAAGGTATTATCATAATTGGTACTGGTATACCAAATAGTGCGTTAACACATCAAGAGTACATCATAATACATCATGATATCAAGTACATCAAAATAGCATACCACTACTACAAAACATACCACTACTATAAAACATACCGATCGTAACATATTTTTACTCGGTAAATCAATAAACCGGAATAATATCTCACATTTAGGCGCCTTTATTTTATTAAAAGATGAATCAGAATGGTTTATAATAACAATCATGGTTATATATTAAGGCTTATAAGTTTCGAATCTCAACTCCAACATTATTCTATTTTTTATATCCAACAAAGAGTGTGTTCATTAATTTCTATATCTATATAAAAATTTAAATTTTTTTTACCATGGTTGTGTTTGTCACTCGTGGTTATATGTCACCTAAAATTAATATGTTTTACTACGGTTGTTCTTTTAAACCGTGGTAAAATGTGTTTCTTTAAAATCAAAACATATCAGATTTAGTATATATCCTTTAGAATACAAATGTCCTAGCGAAGAACACATACAAAAGTGACAGTGAAACTTCCAAACTTCATCACCTTTATCACCATTCATGTTCTTCATCTTATTATTGTCGCATACGCACAAAGGTTGAGTTTTTGCGAAGTCCTTCAGGTTACACAAAGGTTTCTTGGTCACAACCTATTCTTCAGTTTATGGTACATTATCTATTTCATCACTTTTATCACCATTCATGTTAATTTTTAGGTTTTAGTGTTATTAAATGTTATATTGTTGTGAATAAAAATTGATTACAAATTAGTATGTGAGTATGAATTTTTAGATTTAGGTTTTTAGGTTTAGGTTTTTAGGTTTTAGGTTTAGGTTTTTAGGTTTAGGTTTTATCACCTATGTAGTATGAGTATGAACCTCTAGAATGTTGTATGAGTGTAGGTTGTATATATATGTGAGAGAGTTGTTGTATATATGTGTATCCAACATATTAGTATGTGAGAATATTATGTGAATGTTGGTTTATAATGATATTAGTATGTGAGGATGTTGTGTGAACATAACGATATAAGTATGTGAGAATGTGAGTAGCATTAGTGTGCCATTTGTGTTATTCTAATTGAGTGATATTGAGATTATTTGTATGTTGTTGGAATGTTATATATTCATGTGATTCAATGATATGAAGATGAATATTGTTTCTTAACTTATTGTGTTGTTGTATGTTAAATGATTCTACAAGATTTTGATATAAATTTTTAGAATTTATTATGGATCTTAGTTGGATAAAAGCTGATAAATTAGGTCCAGTGTATGAGAAAGAATTTTTTGAATTTCTTGAATACGCATATCAAAATCTTTCCAACAATAATAGACTCTTTTATTGTCCTTGTGTTGTATACGGAAATATATAAAAATTTCCAACAAAAGAAATATTTCATCACCTTTGTTGTGATGGAGTTTGTCAAAATTATACAAAATGGACGTTTATTATTATTTTTTTTATATATAACACATACCGAAATACTATTGGTGGTAAGTGTAATTGTTGAAATAGTTAAATTTTGGTTTCTCTTTCTTTTGCTTTACTGTTATTGTTTTTTTAGAATAAAATATATTAATAAAGTTGGACAGGGATGGAAGGTCCACCTTTAGTTTTTATTTATTTCATTATTCTGCTTTTTTTTTAAATCTTTTTGTGATTTTATAAAAAAAACAAAAATAAATAAATATATTTAGTTGGTTATTAGATTAATTTAGATCATTTACTGTAAAATAAAAATATTCTTCTTATTTAATCAGGACATTTAATTAAAAGAAATAAAAATACAAAACTACCAAGAAAAATGCTTTATTTAATTTATTAGGTTTTATATTTAATTAATACTAAAAATGTTAATAAAAAATACATAGGAACTAAATTCTATACAACCTTTGTACATAATTTCTAAATATTTATATCAAACACAATTTAACCAATTTTCATAATTAAATTAATTAATATTTTATGAAGACGTTAATATCCATACAACTCATCAAATTCACCATCCGCAAGTGACACGTGGCCAATATCTGATCACGTGATAAGGGAGACTTCATCAGACTCCCTCTACATACCTCATGACGAGCAACCTATGGCCAATATCTAGTTGCGTGAGGAGAAAGACTTTATCAGACTTTCCCCTCTCTATGCCATACCATACTCGATCAATCAACTTCAAAACAGCTAACCAACAACAACATCAAATCATTTTCTACTAACTTAACAAATACTTCCAGATTATTTTCAAAAAGGATTAAATAACATTGTCTTCGAATCCAATTGCGAACTGCGTCTATGATCACTCAACTTACAATCCAGACAAGGTTCAAGGATAAATTCAAAAGCAATTCTCTACAATCCTATAAAAAAACACCAAAAAACACTACGAACTACGAATTGGGACTTTGATTCCTAATAAAAGGATACGTAGGCATATGAATAAAATCATGGCGTGTTCCCCTAATAAAAATTAAAACCCTATTTTTTAAAGATTGCGCTTCTAAACCCTAGTATCCTTGTGAACAAGGTAGATGAGGGGTGCCTAACATCTTCCCTTCGTCTAGAAACGAGTCAACAACCTAGAATCCCTAATTTATTTAGGGTTAACCTTTATATTCCCTTCCTTAAGATAAAAATTAAGGATGGCGACTCTCAATTTAAAGTTGATTACAAAAGATGGCGACTCTACTGGGAACTCAACCCTAAGGTTAGAAGCCTTTCTTTGGATTTAGGGTTTTAGGGTTTTTTATTTTCTTTACAGTTATTTATTTTGGTTTATTTATATTTTTATACAATGCTATATTTATTTGTGATGGGATGTTATTATTTTTAAAAAAGGTATATTTTTCAAAACCCTTAGAAAGAAGGTTCGTCAATTAGCCAAGAGGATACATCAGCCCTATGAGTTTATGTGACGACTTCGCCTAGAGTCGATAAAATTCCGCGAAGGGAATACGTCTCAAGAGATATCCTCTTAGGGGTATGAATTTGGAATAAAACTTATGACTCTTTGTATAACCCTAAACCAAATACTCATGGTGAGACCTTGTACGACCTTAGAGACAAAAAATTTGGTCTATAATGATGCTCCACTTAAGGGAGGCCCTTGTGCCTTTCCCTCTAGTGTAATCCATGATACCCTTAAGGAAGCCACCTTACGGGGAAGGGTAGAAAAACTTAGAACCTTTATAGACGCTCTCCTATAGGTTATTTTATCAACATCCTATCCTCTTAACCCATAAGGGTATCCTCATCTATATTTATTCTGAAACTAGTATAGGGTATTCACATACCCTAAACCCGTATAAGGTATTCACTACCCTAAACCCACAAGGGTTTCAGTTTGTCAATTACAAACCTTAGGTCCATAGGGATTCCCTTAAGTATGTTATAGCCTATAGGGACTCCCATGTGTCTGTTAAAATCCCTAGCTTGTAGGGGTTCCTTTTTGCGAGTCACGACCCCTAGCCTGTAGGGATCCCTCTTTTTTGTCTCTCATTATCCTTAGGACTTCCTCGCTAATCCATGCCAAGTGGCCTATATCAGGCTATGAGATTTGGTGACTATTTACTGGTCACCGTGTGCTCTCTTCCACGTTATTCCCTCAAGTCCAATCTTTATTTCAACCACCCATTGGTCTATCACAATTCCTAGCCTATAGGAATTCCCGTCCCTTAGTTACAATCCCTAGTTTGTAGGGATTCCTCGTCGTCTTTCATTGGCCACAATCCTTAAGAAATTCCTGCTTGTCTCAATCTCTGAGACAATTTAGGATATGATCATATCCATGTCTACTATTATCTTCGTCCTTAAGGAGTTCCTTCATGTCTCAATCTATGAGTTAGTGTATGATATCATCATGTCTATCATTAAACTTATATAGGGTATCCCTATGTCTACCCTCATACTACGTCCATGTCGCATTGCATCTCCGGGAAATTTTTAGCATATCCTTAAAAACAAAAATATTTTTTTCATACCCATGCATTTACATACATTCATACATTTACATACCCATGCATTTACATACATTCATACATTTGCATTCCATGCATTCCAGCCTTCTCCCTTATACAACTATCATCCATATGCTAGTTGATTTCTTGGTACTCCAAATAAACTTAAGAAAGTCTGAAACTTTGGAAGAAGTAGATTATCTATTGAAGACTCAATGGAGCTTAGAGATACAAGTCTTATTAGAGAGAGAGGACAATTCATCACCATGGCGACTACAGGCCTACACAACACCTCAAATGCCAATACCATCGGTGATTCCTCTACATCAAGAGCAACTACCCTATCATCAAAATAGTAATGCCCAAGAAACGTCAAGGGTTACCCCTATGCTCTTACAAGTACAAGAACATCCATAAGTTCTCATAAAGTCAAGAGGATCAACAAAGAAGCTCTTCCATAGGTGTTGTACCCCAATTTTTTCCCCTAAGATCCCTTCATCATACCATATTGTTTCAATCACCACAAAATCACATTAGGGCTTTTGGTTCTTCTCCCTATCTTTAGCCTTGCTCTTTGAGGAGTTACCAAGCACCTTGACTTGTTTTCTTTGGTGATCATGGATATTTTGCTTTGATTTTCACTCTAAATT